AGCTGTGACTATTGAAACGCAGTTACCTTAATTGTATGAGCAAGAACGGGTAATGCGTTGCCTATAAATACCTGGCAGTGATCCTGTTTTGTACGGTATGTTCTATCACGGTTTCTGTGTTTAAAGAACTAATTGTATCTTCATACAATGAACCTTGGGTTTGTGATTCTATTCAGGGTGCCTTTCCCTATTATTGCATTGGTGTCTGCTACTACCAGTCACCGCCTTTGCAGAATTGGTGCTGTCACCAGAAATGTGTCCTGCAACAGCAGTGAGGGACTGCTGCAAAGGAGGTGACTGCAGGGCAGAATACCAGGGAAAAAACAAATGATTGTCAAAAAAGGCAATCAGCTTAATCTTTTCCAGGTATGTTGGAGATTAGGGAAAAAGGAGTAAAGCGATTAGGACACAGGAAAACAGAGGAGGGAGAGAAAGGCAGTGGAAAAGCCGCCTGGATGCAGTCCTGTGTGACCTGCTGAAGGTGAATCTGCTTTAGCAGGGGGGTTGGACTGGATGATCTCCAGAGGTCCCTTCCAACCCCTGCCATTCTGTGATCCTGTGAAAAGGTGGGGAGAGAGCAGTGGAGCATGGTCCTTATATTCTTAAACTACAGCTCCCATATGGCACAACTACAGTAACCCCAAAAGAATGGAAATATTTCTTTTAATTTCTCCTTCAAAACAAGTATTTTAACAAAGCATTTCTTGTAGCAAAAAAAAAACCCACTTTGCTACCAAATGTGATTTTGATGAAATTATTTGAACTAGTTCTTCTTCGAAATACTAAACAGCTCCAAATGACAAGATTACAAAACACCTCAAAAATCAATCAGAATCTCATTACTGTTCCTAAAGGTGTATAAATAAAATATATATGTGAAAGTATTGCATGAGCTATGATCAGACCCAGGCTGTCAGCACCAGGTTGGGAACTTTTGTTTAATTATTTTACTTGTCACTTACTACGATGATCCTTCCATGTACAAGTCCCATGCATCTGTGTCCCCAATTTAGAGCCTTCCTAAGCAGTATTTAGCAATTGTACTTCTTCAACAGAGAAGTAAGCCAAAAAGTTACCCTTCAGAAAACACGGTTAAAAAGTGTACATTGTGAAATTTGGACCAATAGTATTCATTATTGGAGTTCAGTCACATAAAAATATTTGCTGCTTTTCTTTTAAAGTCAAGGCTGCTTGGTACAATAGGAATATTTCTAGTGGGTAGTCAGCCATTGCTACCCAAAATGATGCACTGCCTAATCCTCTTTAGGGTAGGCATACACTTTATGGTCACTATAATGCAATAGCATATTGGCAGCTTGTCTTTGCTAACACTAAACCCATTATTGCTATCAAGAGTATCGCAACTGTGTTGTACAATGTGGAAAGCTACAGAATTAGAAAGTTTAGGATGGAGAAACCCAAAGGTTCACAACAGCAATCCAAACTGAGTTGAAAAGTGGTCAAAGCAAAATGGTTCTTGGTGCTAATTTAAAGTCAAATTCTTCACATAGGGTTTTGCTCTTTATAGTTGAGAGTTAAACTGTAACAGAGTCCATTGTGGTGCCAATAAACCTTCCTCATGAACACAGCCCTG